AAAAAATGTCCCGATTGCTATCAAAAACCCTAATTCCCTCCGGGAGATTCTTCCTCCGTAGTCGTTTCAACGAACCGGCGATTGCCACTGCGCCGTCAAACTTCGTCTGTTTCAACCGCCGTCGGTTTTCGTCAAAGCCTCAGCTCATCGAGATCGATCTCGATTCATATGCATCTTCAAAAGCAGAGGCCGAAGCAGCGATTCTCAAGAAGCTAAACGAATTCGTTCGTAGGATCATTGTTCATAATTCGACTCCAGATTGGCTTCCTTTCTCCCCTGGCTCTTCCTTCTGGGTTCCTCCGCATAACAACACGGCCGAGAAAATCGCGAATCTGGTCGATAAAGTGACGAATCCGTTGACGGAGGAAGAATCTTACTCTCTTTCGTCTCCTAATGGCTGGCCTTGTTCCTCTTTCTTCATTTCTCCAGGTAATTGCTCTGAAAATTGAACATCTTCCCCTGAAATTGTACGTGAATCCGTGAATTTGCATTACTTTCTGGAGATACTCGTGTTATCTAGATGATGGTTCTCACTTGTTTTGGTTCCTTTGAACAATTCTTCTGCTTCCATAGGAGGTAATTGCTTCTTGAGTTTCCTCCATGTCTCTATAAAACCAGTTTCTGATATTTTAGGGATGATACATTTAGCTTGTGAAGGGACCTGCTTTACTTGCTACAGAGAAAACTTGTGAAAACAGTATAATGCAATGGAGCTTTGATTTTTGTATGTTCTATATGTCGAATGATACGTTTCTCGTCTTGTGAAAACAGAACGTAATGGAGCTTTGATTTTTGCATGTTCTATATGTCGAATTCTCGTCTTGTTTACTGTATATCTATGGTGACACATTTTGTTTCCTTGCTATTGAAATGATAGATGATGATTCATCATCTACGCAAGAGGTAGAAGATAGGATGGAGTTGAACATCCCGAGGAACGAGATGCTGGAAGTGAAGCTAGCGCAGTTTCCGGATCCGATTTACTTACTAAAACACGGAGACGATGAAGAGTAATACGTTTTCGAGCTCGTGAGAAGGTAAGAAAACATTCGTCTATCATAAAGAAATTGTCCAACATGATTATATAGCTGAAATGCCGATGAATTTTGTGCCTGACGGAAAAATGCATTGCGTATATAGGAGTGGAGAAACAGGTTTGATGACTGAACCTGAAGCAGTTGTAAATATGTTCTTATTGCGAATGTATTGGTAAAGCCGAATTTTCGAGCTACTACAAAAGGTTTATGATAAGTTAAGCATTAAACTATATCTTGTTTTGAGACTATTCTACGTATTGTCTGGTATTTAAATTTAGATCCGATCAAATTAGATCATAGATTAATCAGCTAGACTAAGTCATTTAATATTTTGAAAATTTCTTCATCTTAATATTACTTCAACGACTAAGCATTTGTATACCAGTTCAAGACTATTTCAATGACTTTGTGGATAACATATGGTAATTGGTTCTCATTTCCCAAAGGCGTGAAGAACATTCCTCACAAGATAACGAAAACATTAGCGTGGACTTAAATTTAGCAGAAAACACTGAGACTCCCAAGGAGACAAACTTCAAGGAACCATAACATCACCAAGGTACCCCATATCCGACGGCTATATTATGTTCCTCTCATTTGCTACAGAAGGATGGATGTGAACTTGTTTCCTACCAAGTTTCTGGAGAAAAACTGATGTCCAATTATCAAACATGTATATATTGTAAAGAAGCAATAAATTGTAAAGAAGCAACAGTGTCTATGATTGATTTTACAATCAGTTTGAAACACTTGTGTCTAAACGCTTAAAGAGAAGCACAAATTAAACCACAAATATGATCAATCATATTATAAAGTATAAACCACAAAGTAGAAAAATATTTCATCTAAAGAAACCTTTAAAAGGCACAAATAAAGTTTTCCATTAGACAAAACCTAAAGGTTCAAGTCATTACAGTTTAACGTTGTGAGGTGGATCAATCCAAACGACGCTGTAAGGCAAAAAAGGTGTTGAAAGGGGAAGTGAACTTGTCTCATCACCAAAAGAGTAGTACATGTCATGTCGCCGGTCATGCGATGCATATATTCTGTTCCTCATCTCCGATGGGAGACCAGCTCTTGTAAGAGTGACATGGAGACTTATGAATACTGTTAACCCACCGAGATCTCTCTTCTCTTCCCATACATTTCTGTTAAGGTTTAGCTTAAACACCAAGGGGTTCTTGTTGTCGCGTGTTAAAATAACAAAGATGTCTCCTTCATGCTCTGTCATCAACATTGGCCTACCAAACCTTACCTGACCAAAGGCGGGACATGGTTTCACTGGAAGAATATTCCAGGTTGCTCTAGTCGGGTCGAAAACCCCGAGGTAGCTGCAGGAACTGAGACAATAGAACATACCATTCGAGAAGAGACATTCGGCCCATTTGAGATTTAACTGGTTCTCAAAGCGATGGGTGGTCCATACGGTTTTCCCAGGCTGCCAAGTATTGATCACAATATATGGTTTGAAATCTGTGTAGTTGAATGAGATCACCAAACAACTAGTTGATGTAGGAGCGGCTGAGAGACCTATGCGATAACTTGTGTAATATGGTTGCAATTCGGAGAAAGGTACGCAATAGCCTATGGAATAGTGTGGCAACTTGGGTAAGTAGATGTGCTCCCGGGTAAACGGGTTAAGTAAGAATAATGTCCAGGGTGCAAATTTTAGCACAAGCAACCAACCATCCCTTGAAAAAGAGAATATTCTATAGTACTTCAGCTCTGGAAAATTGAACTTGTATGTTTGAGAACGTGATGGGTCAGAAAGAATATACTGTGAATCAGTAGGATTAGCAGGGTAAAAAAGCCAAGGACGAGGCTGTAACTTCCGGAAAGGAACAGCTGCTTCACGCCATGTCTTGCATACAGAGGAAGCTCGTATGTTGTCTTTTAATCCGAGGCGGGAAAGTATATCCTGCAGGAGCTCTGAGGGAATCATTAGATCCCACAATCCAATAATGCACCTGAAAAATCACAAAAAGAAAAGAATTAACAATCCTGTAATACAATTCATCGTTGATCCACTATCTCCTCTAGCGTTCGCACAAAGAAAGAAATAAGAGAAATTATTCAGCATCTCATCGATGTTGGTATAGTGGTAATTAAAAGCTACAAACTTTGATAAGTGAAGTCATTCGTTCGTGCAACAGCATCAAAACATAAGAACACAAGATAACATTTTCTCGGGATTAACAAAAACAATCCTAAGCCCTAAATCAGAGTTCATAAACCCTAGAATTTCAATTGAAAGGTAATCTCACGGTGCTAGAAGCGCTGGAACATTGAATTCGGGGAACAACGACGTCGGAATTTCAGCCGTGTATGTTCGCCGGCGAGAATTCATTATCTCCAACTGTAGCTTTGACGGCACTGCACAATGCTAGGTCAAACTGGTAGTTTTAAGGGGTTTTTTTTTGTTGTTGATATTTTTCTATCTAAAATCATGGAAAGTAATTTCACATCTTAAAAAAGGTTAATAAAAATTTCTACCGCTTCTCAGAATTTTAAAACTAAATATTTCCTAAAACTGATATTGTTCGCCGTTGACAGCCTCTTTTTATGTCGAGCGACATTAGCGGAATGCTCAGAGTTTCTAACCTGCC